CTAAGAGTGCTAAGAGTGTGATAGAGTACTATATTGGTACATAACTATTCTTATTACATCAGGGACGTAGAAGCATAATTTTGATTGGGGGGCTAAAATGATAATTAGATTGTATTAAAAGAAAAAAGAAAAACAAAAAGAAAAAAGAAAGCGCGCGCCTGCTGGTATGCTTCGTGCTATAGCTACCTCTACTAAATATTTCATTATTTTTGATTATAAGAATTTAGTTTTATAATTGTGAGTATTTTAGCGGAGCACCATAGGAATAGAATGTGGTAAACTATTCAACTCAGTTTTCGTGGTCATCGCATGGGAACCCTGTGCGTAACGCTAAAAAGTGTCGCCCGCCAGGTGTACATCGCGTTTCTGATTGGTCGAGCTTTCAAATCACACGTCACTTGGAAAATGACGACTTTTTTAACGAGCTTTTTAACTGTATATATATATATATATATGTTGTTGTAAAAAATGTAAAAACGAAACAAAAAATCATGGAAGTAATCATGGAAAAAAAGGATTCGCCACAGTGTGAAGATAGAGCTTAGGACATTTTCTATTTAGTTTTATTTAGTGTAGATAACATAGCTACTGGGGGCTGGTGGTGAGTTGTGTACAAAATTTCTAAGTGGGAGAGTATTTCACTGAATGGGTTTTATTATGGGAGACATTATCTTCATCTGTAATTTAAAAAAATTGAAGATTTTTTCCCCGATTTTATTTTACCTTTTAGATTCATTAAAATTGAGCTCCATGTGACGTGCGTATCGGGAGCTCCGCTTTTAGGCTGTACTATAAATACATATATTATTCTACTTCATTCTGTAACTACTGACTGGTTTAAGAAAAATAGCAATTTTATTTTTTCGTAAAGCAATGTCGTGCTTCACGAGTAAAAATATCAATAATATCAATGATTTTCGCGAAGCAACGATCGCAGAATTCACTGGGGCGTACGATCGAAAATCGCCCGTTTTCCATATGATCAAAAAAGGTGTTCAAATTAGAGCTGGTCTCTCGATGTTTCATGTGTAATAACAATCTTTATTTTCCATTTTCCATTTCCATATTATAAACATTTGCATATATATAATATGCACATATATATATAAATACACAAAAGATTTTCAACACTCGAAGATAAAATTCCTATCTCCAAGCGGCCATGTAATATTCTGTTTTTATCATATAATTATCCATAAAATACCTATATTTCTCCTTTTCGAAAAACTGATATTTTCACATGTGAAAATAACATGTTATTAAACAGTAACTATCATGCAAATGTATTTTCTTTTTGATATTGACTGATGATTTATTCCGTGTTTAAATAAAGTCTGTATGTATGTATGTACATTCTAATACCTCATCACTTACCTAAGTTCTGCGCCGTGCTCGGTGTCGTATGTGAGTAAAGTTGTTTGTTGGTTCTTTCCTGTGATATGAGGGTTTTTCTCCGGGTTCTCTGGTTTTCCTCCCTCCACAAAAATTAACAAAAAAATTATTTGGAATTTCAGTGGATGAAGAACCGGCCGTTTTGATGTAAAGAGCCATTGTTAAATCTTATTTATTTTACTATTATCATCTTATTATTTCTTTCATTATATTGCATTGTGCAAATACGGCTGCAAGAACAATTATAGAACCATTCCGCTCCAATCAAATGCCTTGCCGCCCACACGATTGTTTCTGCGTTTCCACAGCTGTTTATTCACATTTATCCTGATTATTTTGAAAAATGCTATCATCAGCATAGGCAGAAACGTGCGTCATGCAAGTTGTTTTCCATTACTTGGGTTTTCCGGCTTAGAAACCTTATTTTAATTTTTAATGGCACTGGCGTCTGACACACAATGTCATCAGTGTTATCATGGAAAATTCAAGGAAAAATTAGTTTACCTTCTTTTGATCATAAGTAAAAGCTGACAATTAAAATTCCCAATTCAAATAATTAAAATGTAAATTACCATAAGTCGGTATATTCACAGTAGCCAGGTTCGTAGTCGTCGAAAAATAATTGCAATGCCGTTCGCCAAGTTAAAAGAAGGGTTTGCGGGACAAGTAAACCATGCACAGTAGGGACTGTTTCATTACTAACGTCGAAGATTTGTTTGTCGCCCCAGCCCATATCCGTGAGTCTTAGATTTACGAACACATCATGCAATATTGAAGGGAATTAAACCGTGAATTGTTGGCGCTCCTCGCCCCTTATCTACCATCCTTCTTCTTGCACAGAATACATGGAGCCTTGATATGGGGTCAGTGAAAAATCGACGTTTCCCCTTTGCACCTCAATTATATCGAGCCGGGGGGAACTGGTCAAAAATCCTGTATGCTGTTCATACATTGCCTTATAATTGCACTTCACTGGTATGGGAAGGACTAATCGAACAAAATCGTGACTTTCGTTCTTTGGCTGTACTTAACATACAGCCGTAATTTAGTGAGCTTCTTGAACTTAAAACATGCTATGCGAGCATCCCCTTCTTCTCTGCTACACAATTTGCTGATATCATGTGAGACAAATGAAAATTAAGTCCTTTGACTGTCATCTTTCTTGTTGGCTAAAGCAAAAAGAGACATACCAAGGAAAATTTAATTTCCATCAGATCGAAGACACCATGAAGGGATAAGAGGCGAAAAGTGAGGTCGATACCCCTAAACCATCTAGCTGATAATTCGCCCCCCCCCTCCCCCCCCAGAGGGGAAAAGCCCAGAGGGAGTACGAATATCATGCGATATATTGAAGTTTGAGCACTTTGGCATGGTACAGCAAACCTTTTTAAAAAAACTGCTTGTTTCATATCCGAGGTTCGCCTCTGTTCTGCACTGATGAGCTCACAAAGAGCGAAAAAGTACTGTCTGCACACACGCGTAAAATACATATATACAAAACAATAGAAAATTGTATTTAAAATTTAAAAAGCCCACCACCACCAAATGACAACTAGAAACCCTCCAATTACTAAAACGTTTTTGCATCTTTTGCAAAAAGACTCATACTGATTGGCGGTTCAAGATCCCCGGTAGCCAAAATTCTGAATCCGTCCTTAAAATGTATTAAAATATATTACATACATTAAAATTTTGTATAATTTCGCGAGATCGTCCCTCATCCGGATTTTTCGACGCACTGTTTCTGAGCATCTAATTTTTTCGCTAAAGAGGTCCATCCTCTGACAAGAATGATTGCTGCTGGCCTGAGTAACTCTTCTAAACTTTCTTCAATACGTGCTTTCGTTTTTCGGCTCCCTGACCGACTTATCATTATGAATTCTTCTTATAAACGACGTAAGATCAATAACGTATACTACAAGCAATGCAAACAGCTACAATGTGTAAATACAAGGAATCGTAAACTGACACATGATACTTAAAAAATCCTAGTCAACCACGATACACTGCGCGCCTATATTATTATCGTTATCGAAGCTTTTCAAAGCTCTGGGGGAGCAACATTTCTGCAAATTCATTATGCGAAAGTTTTCAAGTTCCCAAAGTTTTCTTCCTTTCGTTCTACAACAAGTAAGTTCAAATTTTCAGAGAGATTATCTTTCTGACATTATGATTTTTCGGTCGTCCAACTGTTAGACATCACAACTTTTAAATCTATCTTCGTTGCCAAAATTCACGGAAAGCATAAAGTGACTGAGAAAATGCCGCTTTGCATAGCATTGCATTGTTTCCGGCGCGCAGTGCATCGTAGTTGACTAGGATTCTTTAATGCATCAGCAATTATCTATTTTATATTACATAATATTGTCAAGAACGTTGGAGACGTTTTTACCAACGAGAACATTGGAAACAAATAGCAAATAGATCCAAGAATGAAAAAGGAATTCACCGAATCCTTTTAGCCCTCTTAGTAGAAGAAAGACTCTCAATTCCACAAGCGGCCGTCCTTGAATACGCACCACGCTTTCGTCCTGTGGCAGGCGCAACCTTTGAACCACCTGGATCTCGACCCTCTTTGACTTTCCTGTAAGATAATTGTCATGATAAGGGAGAAGTAGGTTACATGATATCAACAAGAACCTTGGAATCTAAACAAAAGACGCTTTCCGTATCCCAGCAGAAAGGCATGTTCCAAACTTTTACGACATCATATACACCTATTTCAAAAAACGTTTTCGGTTGAATATCCGAAATCAGAAATCTGAGACCGATTCATAGAATTGTGGGGGACTGAGTGTTTTCTCGTTAAAAATTCAATATACGTACACTTACCCAGACAGTTTGACAGGTCTTCGCTCAAAGTTAGTATATCAAGATATCAACTTTTTGCGAACTATTTATTAAAACCACAAACAATTTACAGCTTACAACCCACAATTCCTTTCGGTCTCAGATTTCAGATCTCTGACCGACAACGTTTTTTGAAATAGGTGTATAGCTAATGGTAAATCAGTACTGTAGAATTCACCCATAACAAGTTCAATGAAAATCATAGCCGGCCAGATCAGAGACATTTTACCGGATTTCGAAGGCATTAATTTACGAAATGAAAACTTACTTTAACATTTCTTCGGAGGTTTYCCATTGTCCTTTCAGTKTGTTTAATWTGACTACCAACTCGTCGTCCAACTCTCCTATCTCTCTCAAAACCTCTGTAGCTTTTTGGATCTTTTCACTGCTTAGCTCGGGATGAGCAATGCCGATTCTCGTTTGATTAAGGTTTTTAAGACTATCCACCAAATTTTGGTCCCAAGAAATCTTTTGGTTCAACCCCGTCAGCCGTTGTTTTGCCAAAATTTGGTCGGCCGGTTGCGCAACAAGTTCTTCAATGTAGGTGTTAATTTTTTTAAACTTGTAGAAACGCCAGGTTTCAAAGCATTTTCCCAGGACATACTTGCACATGTTTCTCTCCATGGTTTTGCCAATTCGTATAAGAATGAGCACACTGTCATCTCGATCTTTGCTTGCTTTTATTTCTTGCAGTTGTTTGGCCAACTCTTTATTCTCCTCTTCCAGGTCTTGTACTTTCTTTTTTAAAGCTTTGATCTCATCTTCATGTTTTTTTCTTTTCCTGAGACATACCCTCAACTGTTCCTCCAAATCTGCTATTCTTTCCTCATTCTTGCGAATTTTTTTTTCGTTGTTTGAGGCCATTGTGTTTTCYGATTGCTTTTCTGAAAATAGTGAAATTTCATGATACTAAGAGTGCTAAGAGTGCTAAGAGTGTGATAGAGTACTATATTGGTACATAACTATTCTTATTACATCAGGGACGTAGAAGCATAATTTTTATTGGAGGGCTAAAATGATAATTAGATTGTATTGAAGAAAGAAAGAAAGAAAGAAAGCGCCTGTTGGCATGTTTTGTGCTATAGCTACCTCTACTAAATTTTCATTATTTTTAATTATAAGAATTTAATTTTATAATTGTGAGTATTTTGTCATTTTTATATACGGCAACTTTTAAATCATTTCTCAAAAACAGGGGGGGGGGGTATTTAAATCATTTCTCAAAAACAGGGGGGTATTCAGTTTCCGCCTTAGACAATTCATTACTTTAAGCTGAAGAAACTGGCGTAATAAGGTGGGTTCCCTAGAGTTTTCGGTAGTGTCAATCAATAGGACAAAGTAATCTATGGCTAATGCAGGCTCACACAGTGATACCTAACACGCCAACCATATTAATGTTCACGAGTTTAGGATTCAATCTTTATGGAGCTGATCACATATAAGGTTACCATTGTAACACTATACGTCAGCTGTAATGAAGGCCATTCTTTTCATTAAAAATTTAAAAACTCAAGTTTTTCACGGGGAATTTTTAAAAAACGTTTTATAATGAAAGTACGTCACCTCGCCTTTCATTTAACATTCGAATGAATGCAAAAAATCTTGAATTAGCCTAATAAAAAAAGTTCCACAGTACCGAATTTCTAAATATTTTGACAACTGTTTAACCTTGATATGATAATAAGAATATAGAATTTTGAAGACATTTTACCGTCTAGTTTTTGATTTATTTCAGAAAAGACATTACGCAAGGGATGAATATTTTTCGTGACCTCATCAAAATAAAAATTCTTCAAGTTCTGGTTTTGCGCATGCTCGTAAACAACATGGCGCGCGCGTACACAAACTATATGGAGCCATCTTGAAAATTGTGGCATCGAGAGACATTTTTACATTAGACGTGCTGGGCTGCACGAAGCACGCGATCGTCATTGGCGGCCAAACAAACACTTCGAGTCAAAGATCATTATTCGTTAAACATGCCTTCGGAAAACCTGAACATATCGGATATCTGATGATTCGCGGAATCGAATTGAATAAAATCTCGTTCAGAGTTCGACTATCGCTCTCTATCGCTAGCATCCAGCGAAAAGTATCATTCGATTTGAACTAACAATGTTTTGGGCTTCCTGTGGAGTTTACACACAAACTCATTCATTCCCATCGACCCGTTGACATAGGAAGCAGCAACCACAAAAAACTGAAATAAAAACATGAGGGAGTCACCGACTTTGTTTTAGAGCTATAAAAGTTTGAAGAAGTGAAAAAATTGTTTTCTTGTATACTAGAGTAAAATGAGCAAATACAAAATAAAACTATGGGGATGCCATGTTAATGAAAACAGTATATAAATTAGATGTCATACTAGGTCACACAAAAGTAGTCAAAAGGAAAACCTTTTTCTAAGAAAGTCCAAGTAGACAACGAAAGGCTTATTCAAAAGAGAGAAGAGAAGCAAATTCAAGTAAGAGTATATCATTCAACACAGGGTATAGCATTCACACGGAGTATAGCATTCCACACAGAGTATAGCATTCAACACAGAGTATAGCATTCAACACAGAGTATAGCATTCAACACAGAGTATAGCATTCAACACAGAGTATAGCATTCAACACAGAGTATAGCATTTAACACGAAACCATTGGCATTCAACTCGGAGTGCAGCATCTTTAAACAGAAGGAAAAAGGAGTGTAAGATTCTTACGAAGTCGATTCAATAAAGTAACAGCGGAAGAAAACGAGTATAGGTATCTTTATAACCATTTTCGAACATGCAAAATAAATAAAAAAATAAGAAAATGACTTCATTAGAGTAGGAGAAAAGATAAATTTAAAATAATAGAAAATAGATCTCTCTCGGCTAGCTCTTGCTGGTATACCAACCAGGTTTTATAATACTCCATTTTACAGTTCCACTCAGTGACCACGAATAATAGTGGTAATATGGGAATGTGAAAGTAGAGAATTTCAGGAATCGTTGTCGCACCAAAAGCCTCAAGCAACAAGCCAAGACCGCAGAGAGCGCCGGTACTTTTAGCTGTAATTAGTTTATTCATGGTGCGTTTTCATTTTTTGACTTCACAAATTGCTCCTGGAACCTTGGCAAATTTTCAATTGGATCAAACAGGTCCACAAACAGCTAAAGCATCAAGAATAGGAAAAAGATATGAAAACTATATGTTTATAAATTGATAGAAGAGATGTTTGAGACTTTATTAAAATAATGATCTTAGCTATTTATTGAAAGCGGTCAGATGATATTTGGACTCGAGTGGTATTCACACATAGATCTGACCCTTGTTACGCCGAAAAAAAATTAATCAAGTGCCCCACGTTTTTTGTCAATGAAACTCACGCCATGAACTATTTAGATATGCTTCTAGAACATATCCAAAAATCAGTTTGGGTTATTGTATTTATGGCTAATTCGGAAAAACAAACTACACCACGTTTGTTTACTCGGTAATACCTTCCAGCAATTTTGATATTTGGATTTGTCTTGCGAATTCTCGAATGCTGTAACTGTAATTTTAAGGGAACATGTTAAATAGAGGATATTACATGGGCGCGCGCAGAGATACGAAATTTATCTTCGAGTGTTGAAAAAAAAATTTTTTTAAACAACAAAATAAAACAAAAAAATCAACAACAAAAATTTTTTTAGATGTTTTTTTTTTTCGTTCGCATTTAGATCTTCTACTACATTAAATTTATTATTCTGCACTATTTATTGTGTCTTTTTCTTGCGTATGATTACAAAAAGGATATGATTAAGTGGTAACTGAACTTCGTGTCGTGCAATTTTGGTCCAAATTGCACTCCACTCATTTCAATTACCATCATTAATTGTACTCCGTAGGAGTACCAAATTAAGTCGCTATGGCAACACGGCCAAAACAATGTCAAAACAATTATTTTCTATCATTTTGTGCTTAAAAAGCATAAATAAAATTTTAAAGCCGTAAGAACTAATCTTTTTTATATGCATTTCAGTTGCACGATGGACTGAAAATCGGCCGCCAAATAGACAAAGATGAACGGCGTCGCTTCGCATTTTTTACTGAAATTTTGTTGAGTGAACTACAAACAAAAAATCGCACGATCTTCTCGTACAATTTGGAATTAATAGACACTCGTAATGTTTTGAAAGTTCTTTAATTGTACTCGCCTAAAGATTCGTGCAATTTCAAGAACTTTCAAAACATTACTCACGTCTATTAATTTCCAAATTGTACTCGAGATCGTGCGATTTCCTATACTAGTTGCTTAATTACACATGGTAACGATATTTTCACATGTGAAAATAACAGTTTTTCGAAAAGGAGAAATATAGGTATTTTATGGATAATTATATGATAAATCGTAATATTCAGTTTTGAGCAAATTTATAGGTTTTATATTTGCGAATTTCTTTTTCTAACAGTTTTTTTTACCATTACTTATAAATGTTAAAAACTCGTCGGAGGAAGGACTAGCGTCCGAAACGTCAGTAAGTTTTTTTCATCTTTTCACGGAGTATAATTTACCTTTTTATCATTACTAAACTAATGGTTAAGTTAGTCCAGACATTTTGTAAAGCTAAGGTAGTGGCTGACGATATAAAGTTCCCAAATAAATCAAATGTAACTTACCAGACTTATGAGTCAGTTCTTAACTTCTTCAAACAAGTTCAATAGTGAAAGAAAATAATTTGCGTCACCACTTTAAAAATTCCTTCCGCCTTCGAACGTGTTGAGGCAGATAACTTTTAGTCATTTCCCCAATCGATTTTGTGTACTTATTTTGCGTACTTTAATGGTTTTGGTAATCTGGCACGTCTGTCGGCTGTCGGGAAAAACAATTACTCCTGACTTTTATGTTGGTCTAGACATTTCTTGTGCTCATATTAAATATTTGCCAAGCCGCGAGTCTAAAAATTAATAATTGTTTTAGTATGATTTTAGACTTGGATATCAGAGAAAAAATGAAATTCAGGATAAAAAAACGTTTTGGTATTATTTCCGCTATAGCAAACTTTGGAAAACCTCATAATCACCGCTCGAACAGTTATTAGGCACTTTACGCAACGACGACGGGAAAGCTGGACGACGGCATTTACACGACGTTGACGTCATAAAATGTTATTGCGCATGCGTAAGTCAAAGTCTGTCATACCTGGAATGCCGTCGTGTCTACGTCGACGACCTCTCAAGTCCATGTTTCACGTCGAGAGGTGAACGTCTATATTCCAAGGTAAATAAATCCTTATATACGTGTTTTTCAACATAAGTTTGGTGTTGACATCTTTCTTTATCGAATATTCTCCCGCGTAGTTGAAATGATAGCAATTTTAGTTCATTATCTTCCTTCCTATTTTATATTTTTGAAAGTGGTTCAGTCGAAATGCGAGTGTCAGCCATATTGAATTTTCAAAGCACATGGAAGTCTTTGAAGTAGATATAACTCTAAGTGTTTGAAGCTAGTAGATATAGAATTGAGAAATTACTTGTGTATAAATAGGTACATTTAATTAATGCAATAGAATCGAAGATACATTTGGCGAACCTTTGCTCTTCGATCAGTTTATACCCTTATGAGATACAAATTTGTATCGTTTCAGAATTGTAACATTTCCCAAATAAATTGAATCCAAGTACAAGCAAGGTACCTAACACAAAGAAAAGGTACGATATTATTCTAAACAAAAAATACATGTTATTGTTTTGCGAGTAAACTGTTTACAAAGTTGCCCTCCAAATGTGCTCTTATAAGCTACCCTACATAGGTAGACCTTGTAGGTTCAAAGGTTCAAAGATTTTTACTTGTACCACAAAATACATAATACATTGCCCTCCAAATGTGAAAAAATATGAAAAAATGGAAAGGTGGAGGGTGCAAGAGAGACAACCTAAGAGGGTTAGACAAGGCAGTCTTGCACCTTAACTTTATCTGGCTATATTCGTAACCTTAATTATAAACAATGTTAAATGCAATTTGATTCAATTTTAGGGCATCTCCAATGAAATGGAATAATGATCAAGATGAGGCACTCTGCAAACAAATCTTATTGATTGAACCTTTTCAGTACAGAGCAAGAACCATTAGAAGTGGAAGTGCTTGGTCAAAAATTGCTATAGAGTTTAACCAAATGACCTCTTTACATTTTGACAGACTCTTGGATAACAGGGCAGTGAGAGATAGATTCAATACAATTAAAGACAATTTCAAAGGAAAGGTGCGAGCAGAAGAAATTGCATCTGGGATATCCCCACCAGAGTTGACTCCCACAGAAAATGCAATAGAGGATATCATTGAAAGAGAGAAAGAAGCTGAATGTATGTTTTGTATAGAAGATGCTGAAAATAGCAAAAGTGTAGAAAAACAAATACAGACTGGAGAGGAAATGAGACTGCAATCATTGGAGACCTTTGCTGAAACGAGGAAGCAAAACACTGCAAATGATGAGGGTGGTGATGTGGAACCAACCAAAGCTAAGAAAAAGAGACGTACAGGCACAGATACCCTGATATACCTCCAAGAAAAGACAGAGAAAGAAATAGAGTTGAAAAAAAGAAGAGTTGGCTCTGAAAAAAGAAGAACAAGAGGAACATTTTGCAGGGCAAAAGGATATGAGGCAGCAGCAAAATCAAATATATCAGGGATTTAGTAAAATGCAAGAGACCATGCAAAGTCAAATGCAGAAGCAAGTTGAGCTTCAACAACAACAAATGCAACAGAACAATCAATTGATGATGATGATGATGCAAATGATGCAAAACTCAAAGAAAGGTTAATAACTTGAATTTACTCAGACGTGACTCAAATGTTGATGTTAAGAATAATTATTGTTCTGTTATCTGCCATTTACAATGATTTTAATTTTCAGATGCTGTAATTTATTTATTTTTATAATATACACCTATTCCAAGAAATGTTGTCCAGGCCAAAGTCAAGAAGCTCACAACCAAAATGAATGCTGGATTGGCAAGTGATATGTGAACATGCATGTGAAACTGTTCATGTCTGTATTTGTTCTCTCGAAACAAGTATGATTTGAATATATAAATAGATTACTGGACTACCTAGCATTTATTGCGGTGTCAGCTTCCCACATGGGCAAAGTTTTTTGGAATAGGTTTATGTTAGCGTGATGACATGTAATTTGTAAAACAAAAATCTAACAGTGGACTAATAGTCAATTGGAACATGCATCTTAAACTTGTATCTAATACACTAGGACCTATTTCATGGGTTAAATGTAACATCACTCATCATTTATGTTGCTGTTTGTCACTTGTCAGAGATGGCAGAACAGTTGGAGCTGGGGGGAGCTTTACCCCATTCACACACACACGAAAACAAAATCACACTGTTTTCCTTTTTTGCCTTAGTAAAAATTTTTTTAGGATGTGCAGCCAGAAAAAGAAATTCTAGCACTCCCCACTCCACACAGCCACAAATGTGCAAGCTCTGCCATCCTTGCTTGTGTTTCTATATACTAAAATACCCTTCAGTCTTTTAGCATGTAGAGATAGGGGGTCAAAAACTGAACAATACACTAATATAATAAAATCTAAGCAGTCAGATATATATTCATATTCCTTATATTTATATTAAAGCACTTATATCATTGTTTGTCACTTGTGTTTTTGTATATACAATCTTTAGTCTTCTAGTATGTTGAAATAAGGGACCTCGATCCCACTGATGCATGTAGCCATTTTAGCAGTTAATAAACCAGAACAAGTGAGGTCAAAACTGACTCTAAGTGTATGAAATGTCTTATTTAATTTCTAGAGAAAATACTCTTGTAATCCAGGTGGGTCTAAACCGAAAATAGGATGACGTTGTGGATTTGTAGAGGCATGTATGAGCATTAGTTAGCAATGCTCAAACAGAGTACATCTTCCCTACAGCACCAAGTCCAATCTTTAAGTTCTTTTTGAAGTCCAGAAAAGCAAAATAATTRGTAACATCTCCAAAAACCCATTCAACAGATGCTCTTGCACTACTCATTGCAGAATTATAATTTGTTTGAATTTGGGTTAGTCTTGGACCTTTAAATGGTGATTGAAGATGGACGCTAATAGGGTAGGCAAGGTCTCCATATAAACACAGTGGGTGGCCAAGGGGAGAGAAGGCATGTCCTTGCAAAACACCAAGTAAACCAGATTCCCCCAACATGCCACTGTCATGTCTCCTTCCGACAACTGGACCATRTAAGTTGGCTATTAAACCGTTTGGGGCAACAACRGMCTGAAACTTGATTGCGTGAACTCGTTTGTGTCCGTTATAAAGGATTCTCTGATTCTTTCCTGGTCTCAAAATTGGTCTAACAGTCCCATCAATGAATCCCCAACAATTTTGAAGTGGAGCTCCTTTAGCGTGAACAAMGTCTGCATAGWTTAGYAGATTAGCCTGAGAGAGCCATGGCTGMTTAAAATTACGTAAACGGTGGTACTGGGTTTGGTAAACATGATTCATGACTTGGTTTGATATCATGCAAAGCTGTGGCACTGGTCTTGCAAACCTTGGCAGCATGTCTGAATATCTACAAGGGTATGCAAATCGTTTCAAGAAAATGCAAGTAGCTTCTATTCCATCAACAGCAACTCGATTATAGCATCTCAACACGTCTGGTATTTGCAAAACCTCAGCAAGTAAGTAAATATCGTTCTTCAAAAATCTAAATTTCGATTTGCATTCATCGTCTGTCAAAATATCAAGTTCAAACGGTTTGTGCGTCCAATATGGAAGTTCAAGGTTGTTGGAACTGTTCAAGTCATAAAGAAGAAGCAACTCTTCGTCRTTAATCAAATTGTCACCATGAGCAAACAGCAAAACATCTCGAACTTCTCGCAATGAAACCATCACGAACGGTAAAATTTAAATTTCCCGCTAACATATATGAATCCCGTCTAGTCTGATGCGTAATTATGCTTACTCGACGTTGACACGTGGACGACGACGTTTTTCGACCTAGTCTTTTTCGGTCAAGAACACCGTCGTCTTGGTCTCCCGTCGTCGATGCGTAAAGTGCCTATTATCTTCTCAGAATCGTTGATCGCTTTCGACCAATCACTGCGCAAAAACCTTATTGTTTTTACAGGCCCCATTTAGGACTTAACTTAATTTTATGCCTCCTAATCTCTAAAGACTCTAAATTGATCATCCGAGCCACGTGAAGGTCTAACCATTTGCAGATGTAATTACAAAGGCAGCACCTTCTCCTCAGTTATTTTAAGACCCTGAGTGTTGGTCCGGCCGAGGCTTGAACAACGACCTCCCGCACAACAGACCGACACTCTTACCCATAGTTAATAGAGGGGAACTGGTTATGAAACCCGGCAAACTTCAAAGGGGCATGTTATTGTTATGGTTTTGGCTTGGTCACGTGGTCACGACCGTGCATACTATCATCTTTAAGTCACCTCATATGTATTCTCCGTCATGCCGGGAGATAATTGCGCTGTGGTAGGCTGTGGAACGTCAAGAAGGCAAAAAGGTATCGGGATATGGAAGCTTCCAGCTCCCAAGGACGATAAACACAAAGAATGGAGACAAAACTGGCCGGCTCAACGAAATAACGAAAACAAGGACAGTGGACGCGGAGTTCAAGAAAAGAATTCAGAATGATAGAGTGTTCACATGTGAAAAGCATTTCCATCATAAAGATATTGAAATATGTAAGTAAAGCTCACTTTCTTGCATGACCTTCGTCCAGCACCTCAGGTCAAGCTGGCTTCAAGCTCGCTAGTCTTTTTGAATAATATTAAATCTACCACGATAACTAAGAATTTATTTGCTTCTTTTTTATTTTTTAGTTCATTCTGAGAAAATGACGAAGAAAAGGCCACGATTTGGCGCTTTACCGTCACTAAATATGCCGAAGCGAAGCCATGATGTAGAGAAAATACATCCCAGACCAACTCGATCAGTAGTTAAAGATTCACCAGTAACAACGACTAAAGTACTGCAATATAAACCTTTAAGTGAACTGTGCAAACGTGTATCTTCACTTAAGAGCCTGAGTGGGTGGACATTGAAGGAAGCCAATGACAGATTACTGATGAAGAGAATGAAAGAAACATATATCTTGCCTGAAGTTGAGATTATCATCGATGATAGTCTAGGATTTACAATCAAGAAGTATGGTTGCTTTTTGCCAGAAAACCACGAACTATACACGTCGCATTTGAGGTCAACTACGAACATTTCAGTCACTGAACTTATCAAGGAAATTGACCACTTCTCTTTATGTTGTGGGGTTGAAATGTCTGGTGATTTGACAAGTAAAGTTATTCACCATGTGATTCCTATGGCAAGCGAAGATGATGAACAAATGTTTCCCCACCAGGGCTATTGGAGGACCAGATACTGCTTGCTGTTATGCAAAGAAAGCAACCGGTGTGATTCCTGTGCAGTTTTAACCTCATCTCAGTCCAAAGACTTGAAAGCAAAAGAGAAAAAGGTTATTCATTCCCGCAAACAAGAAAGCTCCTATTCCAAAAACTGATCCTGAGCGATTAAAACTAACCCTTCAGAACCGGAGACTGAGGTGTGCAGACCTTGAGAAACAATTGAATGACATGCAACGAGAAATTAGAAAGTCAAGTGTGGAAGTTGATCATGAATTAAGTAATGATTTCACTGCCATTCTTGATCAGTCAAATCACAAAATTACACCATTTATGAACTTATTTTGGCAGCAGCAAAAGAAACTTTTTGGAAGCAGCCCATCTGGTGTTAGGTATCACCCTATGCTGATCAGATTTTCTCTCTCTGTTACCAACTGAGCTAACCGGGTGGCGGTTTAAGATGTTAGCAGGTCGGTAATTAAACGTTTAGTGATCGTCTACGAACGTTACACGACACTAACAAGTACGAAACTCTTATAGACKACATTGGGTATTTATATAAGGAAATGAAGTGCTGGTGAAACATGTGGGATATTTCTAGCACTGTGGTCCCACTGTGCATGCGCAAACTCGCACATAGGTTTCTCTTCGGAATAATTATATTTAAAGATTCAAGGAAAGATGCAAGTTGAAGTAAAATAATACAATTAAAGCCTGAACTAAAATTTCAATGAGTTAAACCTTTTTTTTGCTGATGTATTAAAGCAAACAGAAACACTTATGTACATTCGTCAACATATTTAGATTTTTTCATAAGACTCGTGGGTCGAGCCGGATGCATCGAAAAAAGCACCTTTTATTAGAATTCAAAACGAGATTCAGATTTCAAGCTTTGGAGGAATTTATTCTCATTAGAGAAAGGTCGAAGTCACGCCGATATTCAGCAAAAAAATTTCAAAACTTCTCTCGAGTCTTGAAGAACATTCGGCCAGTTTTGTCATCCGCCAAATGAGCCGTTATGAATAAAAAGTAGACTGATCGCCGAAGCAATGTTCTTGTATGTTAATCTGCGAAGGTACAAATCTACACAATAGATGTCGATCGAGACAACTAACGAAAATTCGCTCCAATAAATAATCCGTAATTTACAGACTTGAATGGAGACAAAGTAGGTGTTAGAAGGAAAATAAAAGGACGACTTGTCATCATACCAGCTAAATTGAGCATTTAAAATATGAAATTCAGCGAAATACTTTGAAACCTTCGAATGTCAACAACTATAAGGACACAGGAAGCCCAATCTCTGCAACGTCAACTAGTATCCACGAGTTCGCCATAGGGCGGTTTGATTAGAATGTGTTGGACAAACAACCGGTAAAAATCCCTGACGTCTCTTCAAAACCGAAAGCTTTTTTTGAAAACCGATCACCAGTTTCGCGTGACTGCTGTCACGAAAAGATTTATCTGAACCTTATATTAAACCTTCACTACTTGCGCCGTCCCTGCTAACCAATAATAATATTTTGAAAATAACGAACAACAAGACTTTCTACAGGTCGGCAACCTATTATTTTTCTAAGAAAACGAATATGAAAAATCCAACTTCCCTCGTTGGCACCTCGAAAATACTTGTCCAAAATCAAAGCGCTTGTTCGAAATTGGATAAAATCACTACGTACAATCGTCCTTCGATCACTGATATCTTTATTCGACGAATTCCAAGACAAGATACTCGATTAGACTCCGTTCTGAGAAACTACACTCCTTTTGAAAGACTTGAATGTAATGAAAGCTAAACTCCGTGACTTGAAATTTAATGAAAGCTTAACTCCGTATAACTTGAAATTACTTGATTTTTTTGCGAACGACCTTGTGCTATTACAGTAGAACTCTCACTTCTCTCACCTGACTTCTCTCTCTCTCTCGAGCCTTATCGCGTGACTCTAAATTTAAATATCTGTTTTTACAACAGCGCTACTGAAAATGGTCACTTTGGTTTTGGAGTGATCGAATATCGAGCCACAAGAAGTAATGCACTAAACTCCTGTTGTGCGCGATCAAAGAAGGACGTTTCATGATTTGGCACTTTTGACTCTTCAACGGCGAGTGTAATCTTATATCACTACTTGTGGTCTGCGCCTTTCCGACAAAACGTGCCTACAAGTTACTTATGCCTCTGATTAGAGTGATTCTTTCTCAGACCGTGATACAGTTTCTAGTACTGAGTTAGTGTATGATAGTCAAATAGACATGTACAAGAAGACAATGGAAATAAGATCTAACAACCTAGCTCTATTTAGCTGCTTTGCAGACTCGATTCTTTTTACGCTCGGTGATCTCGCCAAAATCCAGCATCTCCTGAGCCGAACTACTAATTAATTGCCATTATGCACGAGCTTTTGCCTGAACCAGCCAATCAGAGCGACTTTCCATATCCCGCGAAGTAGCTTCTGATTGGTTAGTCGCAGTCGAAATTCCAAATGGCGTTCGACGAAGGTTTAAAGCCATAAAAATGTTGGAGCTGTGGCTGTGGATGAAGCCCATATTGGTAATAAGTTTAAACACTTTTAAAACTAGTTACAAAGCCCTCAGGCTATAACAACAGCTAAAACGATAATTACGTAATATGTATAAAGTTAAATGTTGAGCAAAATAAATTGATTGTAGCATGGGTAGCATGGGTGTCGTTCGCGGCTAACGCGTCGTCTTTCACCGCTGTGAGTCCAACGGGTCGGGTCGCTGGTTCGAGCCCTGCGGTCGCCACATGTGAATTGAGTTTGTTTGATGTGTTGTACTCTCCCTTGCTACGAGGGTTTTCTCCGGGTTCTCCGGTTTCCTCCCTCCATAAAAATCAACATGTGAGTTGATCGTTGTGTGCATAGAATATTGAATGTAGTGGTAGGGCGTGTGAGTGAAAAGTGTCCCCAATTAGTGCGAAAGCGCTAGAACGACTAGACACTTAAATAAAAGTGATTTTAAAAAAGTGATTTTTGTGTTTAAAGTGCACATAAGCTATTGAATAAATACACGCATGTACAAATTGACAATTTCACCCCAGATTTCTTTGGATTAAAAGGCTGCTATAAAACGCGACCTTCCTACATCGGATTCTCTGATTACTTTATCGGTCTGATAAAGATTAATTCATATTAATATTTTAGATAACTAATATTATCTATAACATAATTCCTTCTCACACCAATGACGGCGTGTCTGTCACTGACGGGCGAAGAACAGACTACAGAGAACAGAGTCTATTCCTGCGAAGAAAAAACAAGCTAAAAAGAAAAAGAGAAACAATAAACAATAAATAAGGAGGGAGTGGCTCAGGAAATGACAGTCTTGAGCGCCAGTAATCCGACTGGGAAATTAGATTCCCTTTCAAAACTGTCAACCTAGATCGGGAAGGCAAACACGTTTTAGACCCAATATCGAAATACAGCAATTTTTATCGCAGCTATACAAAAATGGAATGCTCCAAGGAGACCCTTGTGCTCCTGGAAAACGAAAGAAAAACCCGTGCATAACTTGCACGAGGGACCGCGAAAGCTTAACGGTGCGCAAAGCAAACAAAAGGCCTTGAACAACTTAGGGTGCATGAATTACCACAACACAAATATTATTATTAAACTTACAAACGAAAAACATGTAAAATGCTTCACAACCGCAAAGAACATATCGAAAAAATATTCGCCCTAAGACCACACTACGCCGATCAAGGGTTTAAAACACAACCACAGAGGCGAATGACAGAACTTTTCACAAACGCCACTCGAGGGTTTTGAAACACAATCACACGAGGAAAAAAGCAAAACTTAGTTCCACAAACACCACTACTCCGTTTTAAAACACAACCACACGAAGCGAAAGGCCATAAACTACTTTTCTTCTTGACCATAGTTTAATATGAAAATAAAAAAATAAAAAGGAAAATATATTTGCCTTAAGAAGCGCTGGAGAGTCTGTCCCTTCGGTCGGTGAAATCTTCCTGGGATATCTTGAACTGGTTCTTCATTTTGTTTGCCTCGGACAGCTCCAAGCGCTTCGACGACCCTGTCCTGCGGTACTTCCAAAGTATTAGACATTGTTCAAAGCCTCAGTAAAGCTCGAAGTCTTGGTAAAGCCTGAGCTAGAAGGAACACGTCCTAGCCGTAGCAGGCTTGAAGTGGAATGATTGATATGCTAATCAGTTCTCATACATTTATATCAGTGAGACCACTGAGAATAGTAGAAACGGCGTCTCTTTTCCGCAACAGCTTTTGTAAAAAAATTAGGTGTGAAATGCTCGTGCAACTTGTCTCTGTTGCACGAGAAATTGTACCGTGTGACAGGGGCTTAAGTCAGTACCGTATGATTCCCACTAACACGCTAACTATTCTTATGGGAAGCCATTTCAATATTACGGCATACCATAGACCGTGAACGTGCTTTAAGTCAGTACCAGCCAAAATTTTAGGGGGGGGGGG